GTAGAAGCATCTCAGCACAGGTGTGGGTCTCCACGTGGTTCCTCCATCTCCAGGGCTCTAGCTCCATTAGCGTAGCACCATGTGGTTTGTCAACAGGAATGTGAAGCAGAGAGAGTGTATAGTCCACCTCCAGGGAGGAAGACAGGAGTTCCCAGACTTCTGAGGAGAAAGCCATGCCCACACAGAGGCACTATTGGCTATCACCTGATGGACAGGCTCTCTCCTTTCACTCAAGTTGACAGGAGATTATGGGACTGCCATAGCCACCAAGACAGCTTTTACAGCTGCCACCAGTGGAGCCCCTACCCTGCCCCAGCTGCTTTGATCCATGCTTTGCCTTTATTATCTCGTATAATCCTCATGGCATTCCAAGGAGGGGGATATACCATCATTCCTGGTTATCAGAAGGAAACGAAGACCCAGCAGCATCAGACTACTTGCAGGAAGCAGAGAGCTAACTCATGGCAGAGACAGCCTTTTAGATGCAAGACCTAACTGTGACATGGACACATTCTATTCACTTCTTCCCAGTCTCCCGGGGACTGGGAAGTCTTCCCGGGTTCAGCGAAACCTCCCTGGATTCGCTATGGCAGTCTCTTTTTTTCCAGCTGTAACTTGCCTTTTGGGCTGTATAACAATTTTGTTAGAAAGGACCCATCTTCTTATTGCTTCTTACAAGCTTAGTTTGCAGAGTGACCCTGTGCCGTGACTACCAGGTGGCCCACATTACGTCTCCCAACACTCTCTCACTTCAGTGCACCATGCTGCTTTTCCCTCTCCTGCTCTGCTCCCAGGTTCCCCACCCCTGCCAAGCCTCCTGGAGTAGGGCTAGGACAACATTAATGTAAATCATGGTGATTTATGCAAGGTTCTGGTTACTATTTTGTCATTTTTTGTTAATATAGCTTTTGAAAGTGGCTTTGATGCTATTCTAGGTAGATTTGCTAGCTTTTCATTGAAAAGCAAATTGAAGAAACAATGAAGTCAAAGAGCTGAATAGACTATTTCAAAGGGCTTCTCAAGAAGACAAAGACAACTGTTACAACGAAATGGGCAAAGACCTAGATTTCGAAAGCCAAAGGGAAGAAAATGATCAGCATGTGTGAAACTGAAAGAAATCAAGAAAAAATTCAAACCTCCAGTTTCAACATTGAAAGATTCTAGGGGATAATGTTGACTGATGCAGGAAGCATGGAAAGAAGATGGAAAGAATTACATAGAATCCTTGTACCAAAAAGAATTAGTCAATGTTCCACCATTTCAGGAGATAGCATATGAGCAAGAACCGATGGTGCTGGATGAAGAAGTTCAAGGTGCACTGAAAAAAAAAACACATTAGCCAAAAGCAAAGTTCCAGGAATTGATGGAATACCGATTGCAATGCTTCAGCAAGCGGATGAAGCACTGGATGCACTTACTTGCCAATCCAGGAAATTTCCAAGACCACTTCCTGATGAATTGATTGGAAGAGATCCATATTTGTGCCGAGTCCAAAGAAAGGTGACCCAACAGAATACTAATATGATAGAATAATATCATCAATAGCACATGCAAGTAACATTTTGCTGAAGACCACCCAACAACTGTTGCAGCAGTACATCGACAGGTTGCTGCGGTAGGTTCAGGCCAGATGTAGAGGAGGACATGAAACAATGGATATCATTGTCTCTGTCAGATGGAGCTTGGCTGAAAGCAGAGATTATCGGAAAGATGTTACCTTGTGTTTTATACTATTCCAAGGCATTTAACTGTGTGAATTATAACAAGCTATGGATAACCTTTAGAAGAATGGAATTCCAGAACACTTCATTGTGCTCATGTAGAACTTATACATGAACCAAAAAGCAGTTGTGTGAACAGAACAAAGGAATACTGCCTGGTTTAAAATCAGGAAGGGAGTTCATCAGGGTTGTATCCTCTCACCATCCTTGTTCAATCTGTGTGCTGAGCAAAGCGTCAGAGAAGCCGGCTTATGTGAAGAAGAGTGTGGCATCAGGATTGGAGGAAGGCTTAATTAACAACCTGTGGTATGCAGTGGCTACAACCTAGCTTGCTGGAAATGAGGAGGACTTGAAGCATTTGCTGATGAAGATCAAGGATGGCAGCCTTCAGTTTGGATTACATCTCAATGTAAAGGAGACCAAAGTCCTCACCACTGAACTAATAGGTATCACCATGATAAGTGAAGAGAAAGTTGTAGTCAAGAATTTTATTCGGTTTGGATCCATAATCCATGCTCACTGAAGCAGCCGTCAAGAGATCAAAAAATGTATTGTCTTAGGTACATCTGCCAAGCGAGACCTCTTTAGAGTATTGCAAAGTAAGAATGATACTTTCAGGACTAAAGTGCGCCTGTCCCAAGCCATGATATTTTCAGTCGCCTCATCTGTATGTGAAAATTGGACATTGAATAAAGAAGGCTTAGAAGAATCAAGTGCAGGTGAATTGTGGTTCTGGAGAAAAATACTGAAAGTACCACGGACTTTCAAAAGGATGATTAAGTCTGTCTTGGAAGAAGCACAGCCAGAGTGCTCCTGAGAAACAAAGATGATGAGACTTCGTCTTCCATGCTTTGGACATGTCAGAAGAGACCAGTCCCTGGAGAGGACACGATGATGTGTGGTAAAGTAGAGGGGCAGCAAAAATGAGAAAGGCCCTCATAGAACTGGATTGATGCTGTGGCTGCAACAATGAGTTTCAGCACAGGAACCCTTGTGAGGATGGTGCCGGACCGGGCAGCGTTTCCCTCTGTGGTGCATAAGGTCACTATGGGTTGGAACAGACTCGATGGCACCTAACAACAACAGTTTCACAAAATTATTAAGAATGGCCACTAGTATCAAAAGATATAGTGTCTGGGTCTTAAAGGCTTGAAGACAAACAAGTGGCCATCTAGCTAAGAAGCAACAAAGCCCACATGGAAGAAGCACACCAGCCAGTGTGATCACAACGTGTTGAAGGGATCAGGTATCAGGCATCAAAGAACAAAAAATCATATCACTGTGTGCTCACCTCCCCGATACGAT